CACAAACCCACACATATCACTTTCACACAAACACACAGACATACACAGAGAAAGCGAGAGAAAGGGAGAGAGAGAGCCGGAGATCGCAGATTGCATAAGACAAATACGGTCACCCCCACAACTAGTAAAAATATTATTTGTGCAGCCCTGGTTTTTTGTCTTACTGTGAATCTCTAGCACAGTAATAAACAGCTGTCTTCAGTCTTCAGGCTTTTCACCTGTAAATACAGCATGTTTTTGCTGGTGTCTTTGGTGATGGAGAACTGGTCCTGTAGAGACTGAGCAAAAATAGTGCCAGTGCCACCATCAATACGCCCAATCCACTCCAGTGCTTTCCCTGGTTTCTGACGGATCCAGCCCATTCAGTAGCTGCTCATTGAGAATCCAGACACAGTGCAGGACAGAGTCACTGATTCTCCAGGCTTTTTCACCACAGAGTGTGAGGAGGTCAAAGACTGACCACTAACAGCTGAAAAACATGGAACAAGTAATGTTAGATTATTTAGAACAATTAAATTAAAACAGTAATATAGAGCTAATGGGAGTTTCTCACATGAAATAATCATCAGTAGGAGTCCGTAGCATAGCATCTCCATTACCACAGTAAAACAATGATAGGGTACACTGCACCTGTGGACACACACACTGACTGAAAGTTCAGCTTATAACAAAGTCTTTCAGGAGTCTGGGAGACACTGACCCTTCCCACAAAATAATTTGAATCTTTGCAGGTTTGCAGCCCTGTAGTTTAACACAGTCATCTGAGAATTATTACAGTAGACAAGGGGAAAATCTTCACTTATGTTTTAATAACTGAGCAAAGTTATATTACTTCATCATGTTTACGTTTTGTACTTTTTTTCTCATGGTGTGTTATTTGATATTGACCCAACATGACGAAAGATTATCAGCATTGCTCAGTCATTTTCCATACAGTTTCTAGCTCAGCAGGGAAGTTTTTTCTTGATTTGTGCTTTTTCTTTTTCCCAGATGAATGTCATTACACTCTTAAAAATAAAAGTACTTCACGATGCCATAGGATAACCTTTTTGTCTAAATGGTTCCATAAAGAACCTTTAACATCTGAAGAACCTTTTTGTTTCACAAAAGGATCTTTGTGGTAAAATCAGCAGGGCCGGACTGGGACGCAATTTCAGGCCGGGAAATCTCACACTCATCCAGGCCACACAGAAAAAAAGGGCCCAAATTTGTACCTTTTGGGGTACAACAGCTTGTCACTGGAACAGTACCTTTAAAATGACATATTTGTACCTTTTTTACCCCTAATCAGAGGCGGACAAAGTACTCAACTCCATTACTTGAGTGAAAGTACAGATACTGCTGGTCAAATATTACTCCATTACAAGTAAAAGTTGTAAAGACAGATTTTTACTTAAGTAAAAGTACAGAAGTACTTGCTTTTAAAAGTACTTAAGTACCAAAAGTAAATTTCCCTTTTTATGTCAATGCACTGTTTTATTATTGTTGTTTGTAATACTTACAATACTTCTGAAGCAACTTAGAATACATTACACCTGCTGAATACACTGACTAGCTTGTAGTATATTTGGAATAAAGAGCTTTTAGAATGTTAAAAATCTCTTCGTGTAGCCCTACAAGAGTGATTACTGATACACTGTCTGAAAAAAAGAAAGTCACGTTTTAGAGAAGAAAAAAATCAGCCACTGACCTTCAAAGCTGCTACAGAGTAACACCTTTCTACTTCGAGGACCTGGATAGAAATGTAGTGGAGTGAAAAGTACAATATTTGTCTTTCAAATGTAGTGAAGTTAAATCATAAATTCCCAGAAAAAATAATACTCAAGTAAAGTACCGATACTTAAAAAGTGTACTTAAGTGCAATACTCAAGTAAATGTACTTAGTTACTGTCCGCCTCTGCCCCTAATAGACACATATTAGTAACTTAGAGTAGTAATTCATACCCTTAAGGTACTAATATGTAGGCCTACCTATTAGGGGTAAAAAAAGGAACAAAGATTTCCTTTTAAGGGCACTGTTCCAGTGACAAGCTGTTGTACCCCAAAAGGTGCAATTTTGGTCCCTTTTTTTCTGTATAAATTATTTATGTTATTATGCTCACCAAGCCTGCATTTATTTGACCCCAAGAACAGCAAGAGCAGTAATATTGTGAAATATTTTTACTATTTAAAATTGTTTTATTGTTTTATTGTTTTTGTGTTGCTGTCTCTAGCTCCCTCCCTCCCTCCCTGTACAATAAATCCATGTGAATATATGTCTCTGCTACTTTTTAATGTGACTTTACAATCGATATTGATGTCCTTTAGCACAGTATTCCCAATTATGATAATAATGGGGTGCTCCTGATAGCCTAACAGATACTAGCAGTTTATTACTCAACTACGTTAATAAAGACAAAACTATCTAGCGTATTTACAAATGAAACTGACCTGCACTTGAAGCCCTGAACAGGTCAGAGATGTTGGTACATTTCACTGCTTCTTCTGGCTGCTTCCTCTCTTTCATCGAGTCCCGTGCATCGGTTCTGTTCGGAATCGCTTGACGGAAGCACGGAACACACGTGAGCTGATTCGGAAATGATCACTTTGGTACATTGAGAAGGCATAAATATAAAATATTAATGATAACTAGATAATAAAGTTTGTAGACAAAATTTAAGTTGGCTTGAAAAAGCATAGCCAGAAAGTTTGTAAAAGTTTAAAAAGCTTGAAGTTTGAAGGTTTTCAGTTTGAAGTAGTTTGAAATACTTAAAATAGTTTTAAAGATTAAAGTTTGAATGTTCTGAAGGCAATACAGTCTATCAAAAGAACAGACATAGAAAAACAAATCGCTAGGGTACCTGGTGTGGCTTCTAGGGTGGTTGCTAGGGTGTTTCTAGGGTATCTGGGGTAGTTGCTAAGGTATTGCTATGTGGTTGCTAGGGTACTTGGGGTGGGTGCTAGGTTGTTGCTCTGCAGTTGCTTAGGCGCCCAGGCTGGTTGCTAGGGTGCTGCTATGCGGTTGCTAGGGTGTTCAGTGTGGTTGTTAGGTTGTTGCTATGCAGTTGCTAGGGTATTTAGGGTGATTGCTAAGAGGTTGCTATGCAGTTGCTAGGGTATTCTTGGTGGTTGATAGGGTGTTGCTATGTGGTTACTAGGGTAGCTGGGGTAGTTGCTAAGGTTATGCTAGGTGGTTGCTAGGCTACCTGGGTTGGTTGCTAAGGTGTGGATTGCTAAGAGGTTGCTATGCAGTTGCTAGGGTATTCTTGGTGGTTGATAGGGTGTTGCTATGCGGTTACTAGGGTAGCTGGGGTAGTTGCTAAGGTGTTGCTAGGTGGTTGCTAGGCTACCTGGGTTGGTTGCTAAGGTGTGGCTATGCAGTTGCTAGGGTACTAAAAGTGGTTGCCAGGGTGTTGCTAAGCTATCTGGGGTGGGTGGTAGGTTGTTGCTATGCGGTTGCTAAGGTGCTCAGGGTGGTTGCTAAGGTGTTGCTATGTGGTTGCTAGGGTACTCAGGGTGGTTGCTAGGGTGTTACTAGCATGTTGTTAGCATGATTACCAAGTTACCAGCATGTCTCTAGCATTATTAGCATGTTGTAAGCATGATTAGCAAGTTACTAGCATGTTGTTAGCATGATTAGCAGGTTACTAGCATGTTGTTAGCATGATTAGCAAGTTACTAGAATGTTGTTAACATGATTAGCAATTTACTAGCATGTTGTTAACATGATTAGCAAGTTACTAGCATGTTAGTTGCATGATTCTAGCATGATTAGCATGTTACTAGCATGGTGTTAACATTTGGTTAGCATGATTAGTAAGTTACTAACACATTTCTAGCATGATTAGCATGTTACTAGCATGTTGTTAGTGTGATTAGCAAGTTACTAGCATTTTGTTAGCATGTTTCTAGCATGATTAGCAAGTTATTATTACTTTATTTTGCAACGCGGAAGTAAATACGATGACGTACTTCCTTATAATGTGTTAAACTTCCGTTTCACTAGCCGGTAGGTAAGGAGCTTAGGAGCGATGTGGTGGGGGCACACACACACAGAACACTAATAAACACCGTGATGGTCAATATTTACCACACCCGTGGTGTATAACACAGTGGGAGGATGAAATGAAGAAGTGGCCTGCCATAACTTTTTAATTATTTCGTTTTGTCGCTTGGAGTAGACGGGTCTTCGATGCGGAAGCACTGAGGCATATCAGTACCTGCACAGTGGAAAAGTCGGTCGAGTGCTGGTACATGAAACAGAAAGTGAATTCTAAAAGCAGATATGAATCCCAGTACTGTTACGTGATTGCATTGAGGATTTAGGTAACTGGTAAATGACTAATGTCTCCTTTTTCTCTTTTATCTGTGAAAGCACTTGTTGATAGTTTTAAAGTAGTAATTAAATATTTTTTTTGTCCTTATCCATAAACTGAGTACTATACAGTGCAGAATTAGGGCTGATTAATTGCATCCAAAATAAAAGTTATAACTAAAATATCTGCATGTACTTTTTAATATATATATATATATATATATATATAACTTTTCATTAATTAACTGCAATTAATCGTTTGACACCCCTATTCAGAATGTTTTCCATTTGTTCCATGAGTTTTGAAAAAGTGACAAATTGACGATTATTTACCTAGCATTGCTAAACTGCATAATTTTCAGAGGGGGAAAAAAATCTACTGCAAAGGATCTATTGGTGAGCAAATCATGTAATGTTAAGTTTCTTCAGATTTGTTTCAATGATCATCTACGTCTTGGGTGAGTGTGAGTACATTTTCAGCTAATTGTAATTTTTAGGTAAAATATTCCTTTAAGAAAATTTAGCTTTTGTTGTTTATAACCTGAATTAATAACTTTAAGAATGAGAAAAACAGTGCAAAAATGGTATCAGAGTAATTTATTATTTTACATTAAATAACATAAACAATAAATTAAAATACAGTCTAAAATACAGTCCCTCTCCCCCTCCTGTTTTTGTAAGGGTATCTGTATGAAAACAAGCAAAGTTAATCTCTTGCACAGTAATACACTGCAGTGTCTTCAGTCTTTAACTGACTCATGTGCAGATAGAGATTAGAGCTGTCCTTAGATGCTGTGAATCTGCCCTGCACTGACTGAGCTGAGCCTTTGTTAGAGTCTGAATAATAATAAATAATCCACTCCAGTCCTTTTCCAGGGGCCTGACGGATCCAGTGCATCCTATAGCTACTAAGAGTGAATCCACTACATGCACAGGTCAGTTTAACAGATCCACTTGGAGACACAGTTACTGACTGCTCAGACTGTGTGAGCACAACCTGACAATAAACACTTAAACAGAGAGAAAAATGCTTTACACATCAAATGAACTACAATACTGACGAAACAGGATTGGATGTTACATTGTAAGACTGCCTAAATTCCCTAAACTAAAAACACGCACTGTGTACAGCCACCACCAACAGCAGAAGGAGATTTATGGAGAACATTGTCTCTCCTCTTCAGATAAATCACTAATTTACCAGTTGTTTAAATAGAAAATATGGCATTTGAGTTTGCATTGATATATTTGCTCATGCATGGGGACACACAGAGTGGGTGTGTTCAATCAAACAAAACCTGAGTGTCAGTTTTTATTTTTATTTTTATTTTTTTCATTTATCATGAAAGGATGCCCTCTTCTGGCATCTAAATTATTCTTAAATGTGGGATCAATTGTGCACCTAAGGTTGTTACCTGACATTTAGCAGATTAATTTCATACAAAAATATAACTGATTTACAAAAAGGCTCAAACATCAACTGACCCATTCAGTGTGCAGTATTTTATTTATTTATTTGTTTTGATTTTGCCATATTGGCTTTGGAATTATGTCATAAGATGGAAAGGATCTGCAATGTATAACTTTGTTTTATTGAAAAATGTGTTCAGTGGTTCGGGGTTTTTGTACAGGTCCTGTGGCAGGTTGTAGCACAGTGTATCGCGAGCACAGTAATACACAGCAGTGTCCTCAGTGTTGAAGTTTTATCCTGTTAAAATAACTGTATTGCTGGAGGATTCAGAAGAGAAACTGATCTTATTTTTGAGAGAATCTTTGACACCATTGCTGCTGGAAGTGTAGTACCAGCCGATCCATTCCATCGATTTTCCACTTGAATGTCTGATCCAGTTTGTGTTGCCACCTCCTGAGGCTGAATATCCAGTGATCTTACAGGCGATGGTAAACGTTTCCCCTGGTTTTACAACCATTACAGGAGGCTGATCCAGCTCAATGCAGAAAAGACCTACGAACAACAAATAAAACATTTTCAGTAATACAAACTAAACTCCACATTTGATTTTCTATAAATATTTATTTGTTTATACATGTATATATATATACAGTAGTATACTCACAGGGTGCAGCTGCTAAAACTAGCAGTGCTGATATAAAGTACATGATGCTGCTTGTATTTTTATGCAACCTTTGATATTGTGGCCAAAAATTAATTAAGATACATTTTCTGTATATCTGTTAAATAATCAAGACCTACCACCTCCTTTGTGTGAATGCAAATTCCCTGTGATGCCAGATGATTCTTGCAGTGATTAAAAAGAAAAGTGGAAAGAATAACGATTTATGAATGTTATTGTGTTTCTTAGAAAAATACTGAGATTCTACACATGCAGTTCTGTCAGCAATGATGACTAAAAAAATATTAATTTATTGCCTGATTGATTAAATAATGTACACTGTTTAGTGGGGAAAAAATAGTTAAAGATAAATTAAATATCAAATAAATTGAAGAAGCAAATAAATAATGCAACAGTCATACAGCAGTTGAGTAATAATACAATGTTAATAAATAATATTCTAGGTACTTTTTATATGTCTACAATACTTTTGCATTGTGTTTCCAAGCTGTCTATGCAGTCAATGCAATCATTCTTGCACAGGTCCCCAGGCAATTTGTGACACTGTGTATTGCGTGCACAATAATATACAGCTGTGTCTTCAGTTTGAAAGCTTTGACCTCGTAAGAAAACTGTGTTGCTGGAGGTTTCAGCAGTGAAACTGATCTTATTCTTCATTGTGTCGCTGGTGCCTGTATCTCCAGAACTACAGAACCAGCCAATCCATTCCATCGCTTTTCCAGCTGAGTGTCTTATCCAGTTAGTACAGCCACCTCCTGATGCTGAATATCCAGTGATCTTACAGCCGATGGAAAATGATTCCCCAGGTTTTATCACCATGAGGGCAGGCTGATTCAGCTCAATACAATGAACACCTGGAAACATTGTCATTGACTGAAATGAGTTGTGCACATTATCATCACAAAACCTCTGAAAATTAAACTGGACTGATCTTATTTTAAAAGTAGTAGCAGCTCCAAGACCCCCTAATAAACTCGTAGTATAGTGTTGGTATCTTGATACTCACTGGGTGCTGTAGATAAAATCATTAGTAATAATCTAAAGTACATGGTTCTGTCTCCCACGTGGGACTCTCTCCACCACAGGACTTAAAGAGCTCTTTCTTGTGTCCCTATGCACCTGTTTATATAAGGAAGGAGATTTGCATCAATGTTTTATTTAGCAAACAAATGAAATTCAAATGACAACTTTACAAAATGAAATTTCCCTAAATTAAAATGGCAACACTCAAGTCTTTACTTTTTGTAAATGAGCCATTAAAAATCAAAAACATATCTTCTGTTTGTTTCTTCTTGACACCTATTTTTCTAAAAATTAAAGATGAAAAATCTAATTATAAAAAGTCTCCAGTAGGCGGAGATAACAGCGCCGACGTCACAAGTAGGGATGGGCGATACCTCTTATTTTATTTTCGATCCGATACCGATATTTTCAAGCCCAGTATCGCCGATAATGATCTTTAAAATAGCATCATATGACCCCTTTAAGACCAAGCGGAATCCTCTGCCGACTGGTCGCTCCCGCTTCACAGCGAGCGGTAGTCATAGTCTGCTTGGTCGCCGGAAATCCCTTCTTTGGCGGACCAAAACAAACAAAAAGCTGATCTGCCTTACGCCACGGGGCAGCTCTGTGTGCGTAAGGATGAGGTAGATTGCCTATAGCCTATATATATATATATATATATACACACACACACACTGCCGTTCAAAAGTTTGGGATCAGTAAGATTTTAAATAAAAGTTTAAAAAGAACAGTATTTATTCAAAATAAACATTGTGTTAAATATACTATTTAAAATATTACTATATAATACTATTTAATAACTATTAAAAAAAAAAGTTTGGGTCAGTAAATTTCTTCTTTTTTTTTTAAAGAAACTTTTAGAATACTTTTATTCAGCAAGGATGTGTTAAATGGCTAAAAAGTGATATTGTTAGAGAATATTTCTATTTTTAATAAATTCTGTTCTTTTTAACTTTTTATTTTGTTTATGGAACACAGGTTCCAAAAAAATATTAAGCAGCACAACAGTTTCAACACTGATAATAAATCAGAATAAGAATGATTTATAAAAGGATCATGTGACACCGAGGACTGGAGTAATGATGCTGAAAATTCAGTGCTGCTGCATCACAGAAATAAATTATATTTTAAAGTATAATAATTATAACTTTTTATTTTATTTATGCAACACAGGTTCCAAAAATATATTAAGCAGCACAACAGATTCAACACTGATAATAAATCAGAATAAGAATGATTTATTAAAGGATCATGTGACACTGAGGACTGGAGTAATAATGCTGAAAATTCAGTGCTACGTCACAGAAATAAATTATGTTTTAAAGTATAATAAGATAGGAAACCAATATTAGAAATTGCAATAATATTTAACAATATTACTGTTTTTTCTGTATTTTTGATCAAATAAATACAGCATTGATGAGCATAAGAGACTCCATTTAAAAAAACATTACAAATCTAAAAGATATACCTGTGTGTGTGTGTGTGTGTGTGTGTGTGTGTGTGTGTATATATATATATATATAATAGGCCTGTGTGTGTATCCCTTATTCTGTCCCTTATTTTTCTATGAAAAACCACGATTGTCCCTTATTTTCCTTTTCTGAAGTTGGCAACCCTACTTGTTTGGCACATTCCTAGATATTTGTACATAAATAAATTAATATGTAACATTAAATTTGTGACAATAAATTTGAATATGTGGCATTTATGAGAACATATTTCATAAATTTTAATAAACTGTTTAATGTTTTTAAAGCATTTTCAGCTGGATGAAAAGTGTGAATGGATCAATAAATCCTTGTGTTAATGGAGATTACTGTATGCTGACCTGAGAATCATTTTCTCTGATAATATTACAATCAGAGCATTATGTGTGACAATCATGTGTGTGTTTTTTTCACCACAGTACTGGTGATGCCAAATTCATCAATGTTCACTCAGGCACTGAATTGTTTGCAGCAGCTTCTCACACTGAAATAGTGATGGGATTTTTTATGAGAAATATAACAATAAGAGCACTGAATTTAGGTGGATATTTACCTAAAATCTACAATAAGAAACAAAACTTGCAGACATCTTTTTTTGTTTATCAGCAACGAAACAGCTCTTATTGTGTGTGCAGCTTGTAAATGACTCTGTACTTCAGGTAAAGACTATTTGCCCTTTTTTCCAAACTGTATAAAAAATAAAAAAAAGAGAGAGTGGGGCTGATGAAAGGATAAAAATGCCTCTGGTATTACGTATCTCTGATTCATGTGTTCAGGTTTTTGTACAGAGCTGTGGCTTGTTTAGTCACTGTGACTGTCTTGCACAGTAATACACAGCTGTGTCCTCAGTGTGAAAGTTATTTCCCTGTAGAAACACTGTGTTTTTGGACGTGTCCTGGGTGAAACTGATCTTGTTTTTCACTGAGTCTTTAATGTCAGTGCCACCACCACTACAAAGATATTCGAGCCATTCTAGTGCTTTTCCAGTGGGTTGACGGATCCAGTAAATGCAATAGCTTGATACTGAAATCCTGCAGGAGATGGAGAATGATTCTTGAGGATTGACAACCAAAGATGGAGGCTGATTGAGCTCAACACAGAAAACTCCACCTGAAAATAACAATGAAAGAATGTGTTATTAGTTATGTCTCAAAACGTCTGTTAACAGAAGCTTATTTCACTGTTATAGATTGAATAAAAAATCAGTCAAGCTCACAGGATGCAGCTGCCACCAGCAGTAGCAGAGCTGATGAGAAGATCATGATTAAAAATGATGTGAATTTCTCCTTCTGTGCCTCAGACACACTTCACTTTAGTACATGGAGCAGATGGAGTATTTGCATATAGTCATTTTGTTGTCCAAGATGTGAAACTTCAGTGCTTTTACCATTTAATCTTTATCTTTTTTATATATCTGGAACAATTGCTTTCTAAAGAAAAGGGACAACATAAGTTTGTACGCACAAAAAAAAGATTAAGAAAATGAGAGGACGTCACTTTTCTTTAAGGTGTCAAGTTATTAGATGTCCAATAAATACATTCTTAATATAAATATAAACCTTTGATGTTTTGATATGAAGGCCTATTTAGAGATTCTTATTGGTCATTCAAGATGCATGCATGTTTTTATTTTGTTGCCTAATTTTTTTATTTTTTTAATGAATAATAGTTTTGATAATTTTAAACACTGCACTTTTATAGCAATTTGTAGCACAAAATTGAGAAACCTCTTTATACATCTATTGTATAATCTAGGACTTATAATTTGATGTTTATCAACAAAATTATATAGTGAAAGTTAAAAAAGTGCCAAATAAATGCATATACCAAAAATTTCAATGAATACAACAGACACCTCTTGGTAATGAAACAGCATGAGCACAACTCATTGTGATGAAACATATTCAACAAACAAATTAAGTGTAATACTTGGTATTTAATGTATTAAATGCACTCTGTAGTCATCTTTGGACACTGTGAACCTGCCCTGGACTGACTGGGAATAGTAGATAGAAGAACTGGATACATGTATGAATGCAATCCACTCCAGTCCTTTTCCAGGGATTTCTCTCACAACAGCTGCAGCACAGCTACTGAATGAAAATTCAAAGGAGAGATGATCTATGCTGTCAGCAAATACAGACACAAAGCTTATTGCAGCTTAAGAAGAAAACACATTACTGTTTCCCATTAACTCCTCCTCTGCATTGCAAATTTTCTTGCAATGTACAGTATTTTAGAAAAGTGCACAGGATTTTAGAAGTATAGATTCAAAAAATCTTTATTACAAAAAAATCTAATTTTGACAGCAGGAAATTTGCTATTTGTCTAGCAGCTGAAGCTAATACATCAAATAATAATAAAATTATATATATATATATATATAGCCGATGGAAAATTATTCTCCAGGTTTTATAACCATGAGAGCAGGCTGATTTAACTCAATACAATTAACACCTGGGAACATACATTTAAAAACATTGTCATTAATTAATGAGTTGTGCACATTATTGTCACATTTCACCTCAGAAAATTACTGTGGACTGATCTTATTCTCACATTTATTTTGATGTACTCATTGATTTTCCTTCCTAAATGAATTTACTTAAATTGAATGTATACTGTGGCACATATTAATGTAAGTAAGTAAGTGAGTGATGTGTAGCCAAGTATGGTTGCCCATAGTCGGAATACGTGCTCTGCATTTATTTCATCCAAGTGCACACTCACTGCAGAGGGTTGTGAACACACACACCCAGAGCAGAGGGCAGCCATTCTTGCTTTAGTACCTGGGAGCAATTGGGGGTTCAGTGCCTTGCTCAAGGGCACCTCAGTTGTGGGTATTGTGAGTGGAAGAGAGCACTGTTCAGAACTGATACTTAAACCCACAACCTTCCGGTTACAAATCTGACTCTTAGTTTAACCATTAGGCCGCAACTGCCATTAAAGCGTTGGTGAAAGCTGTTAATGTACTGATATTTTACAAAAAAATAAAATGAGGCATGCTCTAAGGCTGCTGCTCAAATTTATTAAGAATTATTTGTGTTTCTTTAGAATTTATAAATTTGACTGTCTGTTTCTTGGTAAAGAAAACAAATTCATTGAATGATGTCTGAAACAGTGAACAAAGACTGCTTGACAAGAGCGCCACCTCTTGGAAATGGAACAGTACATCTGGAGCATAAGTGAAGTCAACAGGAAAGGTGGTGGTTTTTGTATTACTTTGACACTGAACTCATTCACAGTGACTCTCTAGCGCAGTAATACACAGCAGTGTCTTCACTCTTGAGGCTGTTCATCTGTAGATACAGTTGACTGCTGGAATCATCTCTAGACACTGTGAACCTGCCCTGGACTGACTGGGAATAGTAGATTGGAGAGCTGGATGTGCTGATGTATGCAATCCACTCCAGTCCTTTACTGGGTGCTTGTCTCACCACAGCTGCCCTGTAGCTGCTGAATGTAAATCCAGAGGCAGTACAGACCAGCCGAAAAGATTCACCTGGTCTTTTTACTACATCTTGAGACTGAGTGAAGGTCTGACAATGAATATCTGTGGAAGAGAGAGAAATACAATAAACTGAAAAGTCAGTAAAAAAAAAAATATATATAAAAAGAACTATTGCAGTGTGCTTGATAAAGATATTTATGCTGTAATTTTATATTATTATTTAAAAATAAACAAACCATGTAAAAATAGTAATATCAGGACTGAATTAATTATTGTCATTGTTAATGAAGCTCTTCTACAAGAACCACATGAAACACAGACACACTTCAATGGCACAATGTAACTTATGAGAGTGAAACATCACAGTTTGCATGAACTCCTCCTCCAGCTTGTCAATTCTTGTTTGTACTTAAGAGTATGAAAAACAGAAATTTGTACATAAATAAACACAAAAATGTTACATTGGGGAATGATGAATAGCATAAATGTCCTAGATAAAGTAAGTAAAAAACTCATTTGTATACGTGAAATTTATGAGAACATTTCGTAAATATTAAATGATAGTGACTATTTAATATTTTTAAAGCATTGTTGGCTAGATGAAAAGTGTGGATGGATGGATGGATGTGTGATGAGGGATGGTAGCATGCTGTGCCACGAGCCCCAGTTACTGATAAATCCTTATATGTTAATGGACATTAAAGTATACCAGCCTGAGAATTCTTTTTTTCTTATATTATTACAATCAGAGCATTATGTGTGACAATCATGTGTGTTTTCTTTCACCTGTTTAGAATCGGTAGTGATGATGCCAGATTCACGAATATTTACTCATGCAAAGAATTGTTTGCAGCGGTTTCTCACACCAAAATAATAATGGGATATTTTATAAGAAATACAATTTTAAAAAATGCTGAATGGGGTGGGTATTTACCTAAAATCTATTGTAGGAAACGACATTTGCAAACGTCTTTTATAATTTATCAACAACGAATCAGGTCATTATTGTGTGCAGCTATGGGGCTGGTGCTGGGTACTGATGAAAGGCTTGAAATGCCTCGAAAACCTTGAAATGGTATTAAGTATCTCTGATTCATGTGTTCAGGTTTTTGTACAGAGCTGTGGCTTGTTTCGTTACTGGGACTGTCTTGCACAATAATACACAGCTGTGTCCTCAGTCTGAAAATTATTTCCCTGTAGAAACACTGTGTTTTTGGAAGTGTCCTGGGTGAAACTGATCTTTAATGTTAGTGCTACCACTAACGAAAAAAAAGAATGTGTTATTATTAATTATGTCACAAAACTTCTGCTAACAGTTATGAAGCTTATTTCATTGCTTTAGTTTAGAGTTTAAATAAAGCATCAGTGAAGCTCACAGTATGCAGCACAGCATACATCTCTTCGGTTGTCCAAGATGTTGCAGTTTGACCTGAGGAAAAAAAAATCTTTTTTTTTATTAATTATTATTATTATAAATTATTAATTATGTCATAAAACTTCTGCTAACAGTTATGAAGCTTATTTAATTGCTTTAGTTTAGAGTTTAAATAAAGCATCAGTGAAGCTCACAGGATGCAGTTGCTGCCAGCAGTAGTAGAGCTGATGAGAAGATCATGGTTTGAAGTTCACACAGCTTTATTACTTCTACTGATCCACAAATCAGATACTGCTCTTTTGCATAAAGGGCAGGTAAAGAATTTGCATACAGCTCTTCGGTTGTCCAAGATGTTGCAGTGTGTTATTCATTTGTTACAGTATATGCAATAATTGCTTTCTACAATACAACATATGTGACCATATAAAAAGATGAAGAAAACACACCAGGAAGATACATTACGGCTGTCACAATCTGTGATGTCGAGGAACGATGGAGACGAGGAATAAACGAAACAGTCTTTAATCCACGGAACACAGGGTACATCAACACTGGAGACAGCAGGAAACACATCAACGTAACGAGTAGAACCGACAGAGACAGACTGCACAGACTAGGACTTAAATACAGGGGATGATTGGGGAAACACAGGTGCATGGG